CACCAGTTACTGAAAACTTAACTGAAAATAAATCACCTGGATACAATAAGAAAAAACTAAAAATATACAAATCTAAAGGAATTGTTTATCATGAAGAAAAAACATCATGTGGTATTTCATTACAGAAGAGTAATAATAACAATGTTTAGGGAAAATAATCGAAAATAAAAATAAAATATATATGTATATGTAAAGAATGACGGCGCTTGGCAGTTGTCAGCTAGGATTTAATCAAGTGGTGCTATCCGAGTTCAAGTGCCTTGGGATTAAGTGTGGATATTCCTTCATACACTTGCTAATAACATACATAAATATATATATATATATATATATATATATATATATATATATATATATATATATATATATATGGTACAGTGGTTAGAGCACTGGGCTCCATCCCTCGTGGTCCCTGTCGCGGCAGTCGTAAAAATGCCTGCGCTCTAACTGATTGCTCGGGCCCGAGAAAACGACATATCGCCTTGAGAAGCCAAACGCAGGTGTCGTAGGGGAAGTCGCCGCCGTGGCATAAGTGTTAGCGCGCCGAACCGCGGTTGATTAGGAAGGGCATCCAATCAGGCAAGGGAGACACTGCCATATAACCTCTCAATACTGAATTGAGAGAGGCCTATGTCCTGCTGTGGAATGAATGGCAGTTAAAAAAAAATATATATATATATATATATATATATATATATATATATATATATATATATATATAATATATATATATATCATATATAATATATATATATATCATATATAATATATATATATATATGTATAGTCAAACAATAGAATTCTTGCCTGTGGTTCCTTCTGTTATTAGGCTGCGTGAATGCTCGCCTACTTAGCTGCAACTGAAATCATATACACAGTGACACTAAAAACATTACAATTCATAACACTGAAGGAAATAAAGCCACGGAAACAAAATTCCTAAAACGAGAAGTTTTGAAAAGTTTCTAAAAAAGAAGAAAATTCCGGAGGCTCTGAACTCGAGGCTGTCCAAAGAGGGGTAGGCTCTGATCCTATGAGGAACGCAAGATTTACATTTGAATTTGAATATATTTATATGTATGTATATGTAAATCCATTAATATATACATATATACAGATATAAACACATACATATGCATATGCAGAGACAGAGATATGGTGCATACTGTTTGTGTGTACACGTGTGCCTGTCGTTTGTTCCTCAGCCTATCAGCTGGCCTGTCTGCAGCCTCTCAACCTCCTTTTGCATTTCCTCCAGGACTTTGAGTTCCTCCTTTTTTAGTTTCTCGAATTTCTCCTGCTTCGCCAGAATTGCCTTAATCTCTGACTGCAGTAGGCTCTTCTCACGAACCACTTCCTGGTACTTCATTTTCTTCAGTAGTTCCATCTTCTGCTTGAAGTTGGCGTCCTTGGCCAAGATCTTGTTTCTGATCTCGTGCTTAAACACCACATGCTGGCACACCGGGCATCGCTGACTTCCCTCGTTCGAATGCAAGCTTTGCGTCTTGTCCTCGGATATAAGAAAATTCACGATCACACCTAGGATCATTCCTGCTTTCGCTTTGAGAGTGGCAATTATATTTGAAAAAGTGTTAGTGTAATTAACTTCCACAACCTTTTGTTCCAGCACGAAAGACCCTTCTGCCCCTTGTACCTCAGCACAGTCATCCATGTCAGAATGATCCTTTGCTGTCTGATGATCGTCTGTGCACTCTTTCACACACACACTCTGACACAGATTGCAAAAGTGGCAATGTCGGCCGTCGTCCAACACAATCTCTTCGCTTCGCAGGTGCTCTATCTTATCATAGTCTACCTTTGCTGCCGTTGCTTCAAGAGCGCTCATCTTTGCTTGATGACTTTGCAGTTGGTCTAAAGTCAGAGCCAAACTCTTCCCGAGCTCACTCACACGCATCTGTACCTCCTCCAGTTTGGCTTGCGCGAGGAGAAGTCGCGCTGTGATCTTCAGCTCCTGAGGCTGTCTCTGGTTCAGTCCGTTGAGAAATTGGCTGTGGTTATATGCCATAGCTTCCCAAGTCAGAGCATGGAATGCACCCATGCCCTTCGCCGGACACTTATAAAGAGGCATGTTCTCGAAGTGAAATGCGTTCTTATATTCAATTCCAGCAGCTTCAATAATCTGGACTGCCGCAGGGTCTTCTGTGCCGGAAAATGTAAGTAAAACATCGGTGATTGCTTTCATGTCAAATCCCAGAACACTGTTAATCTTTGAGAGAACTGCTTGATTGTGCTCGTCCAGCCGTCGATTGGAAGCCTTCCACACCAGCCCCACGCAGTTGAGATGCTTGATCCAGGCCTCGTTGGTCAGGTAGAATCTGAGGCTTTTCTCGTTGACCTTGTCCTTCTGGTCCCCCTCGGTGTCCCCCAGGCCCGGCGTGTCGATCACCATGTAGTTGAAGGGCTGAGGCATCCCCTCCTGCCGGTAGATGGTGAAGGCCGTCGTGTACTCGGTCTGGCTCTGCGTCGAGTCCTTCGCTTGGTCCATCTGGTCCTTGAACTGGAGGCGGAGCTCTTCCTCCAGCCCAACGCCGAACACCATGTTGAGGAACGTGTTGAGGAACGTCGTCTTCCCGACCCCGGTCTCTCCGAGGAGCAGCACCGTCTTCGTCTCGAGGTCGTTCTCGGGGCCGACCGTCACCACGCGGACCTTGTTCTCCAAGTCCTCATGCTTCACGTTGACTTTTAACTCATAGATGGTGAAATTCTCCTCCTTCTTCACCGCAGACCCGTTGCCCTTGACCCATTCCTTCAGCTGCGGATTCATTGTTCTGAGATGGATCTGCAATTGCATTCAAGGAAAGGCATTGTGTGAAAATGAAATTATACATCGTCAGAAGACAGCTTTATGGCAATTGGATGTTGCAAATACAAACATGGAAAAGGTTTTCTGCTAGTTTCTCCTTCTGTACCGCCGATACTAAAAGTACATTAAATATATAAATGTGTGTGTGTGTGTATGTATATGTATATGTATATATATAGATAGATGTACATATATATATACATGTTTATTTATATATACACTCATACATACACATATATATATGTGTGTGTGTGTGTGTGTGTGTGTTTTGACTATACTCAGGCGTAATTAGGAAGCGCTTAATTCACGAATCGATTTCCCTTCCAGTCTCTCATTTCTTACTTTTCTATGATTTCATGTTAACGTCTATACCACCACGACAGAAAGAATCACCATTATCGTGCCTTTCTCTTAATGCTTCGCCCAACAGATAACACTCTATTTACGTAAAGTACCTCTGCGATCGTCCACAACAAACGTTTGTAGAAATTTCTCCGGTAACAAAGTATCCCCCATCGAACGCGGGGTATTTATTGGTCGGGCGCCCTAACGGTCAAATCTCCTGTTTCATCTTTTTAGACTTCTCTAAATTTATTGGCAGTGGCGTAGATAGAAAATTTTATAAGGGGGGGAGGGGGCGAAAAATATAGATTTTCAGACAAAAATTTAATAAGCATTTTTGTTTTTTCATGATTATTTTCCGACAAGATTAGCAATTTTCCGACAAAATGGCAGTTTAGCTCTAGAGGGGGGGTCTCCGCCCCCCCCCTGACCACCCTCTATCTACGCCACTGTTTATTGCTAAGGGAACCTCGTTTATGTGAATCATATGCTTTATCTTAGTACCTGGACTTTAGTTTTTTAGGCTTAATTGAACGATTTAAGGAGGCCTGGACTTCCCACAAAAATCTATTATTTCAGAGTTGAATACCGCTTATTTATTTCATTTATTATTGTTATTACTTTTTCATTATTTTTCGGTTCTGTTTAGTCCCTTTTGTTTACCTTTAAAGGTGTGTATTCTATTAATCAAGAATTCAATATATTTAAAATCACAAACAATTAATACAGTAAATGAATGAACCAAGGGAGGGGGGAATACTTCATCATTAACAACTATATAAACCTAGAAAGCCTTGAAAAAACACAAAGTAAAATCAACCAAAAGAAACAAAATACAGAATAACCGAAAGCACCGGGATTTGCTAATAATAAGTGTCCGCCTGCCCATTGCGACCACCCCCTGTTAAAGGACACCCCTAAACGCAAATATTAACAAACGTAAAAACCTATCTGAAAATAATTACAGAATGTAGGATTAAAATAAAAATGCTAAGAACCAAAAAGTAAATAAAAACAAGCGGCCGGGTCATATATATACGGAAGATCCGGACGATCTTAATGAAATCTTAATAATTATTAAGTAATAAGTAAAAACACGCAACGAAAATATCAAACTAAGAATAGAAGCCAAATAAACGGTATATATATATATATATATATATATATATATATATATATATATGTATATTTATTAATACATAACATAAAATTGACAAAGGGATCGCAGAAAAAAATAATGAATAGGAAGAAAAACGGTTCAAAACGAATCCTCTAAATTAAAATAGTCTCCCCGTAACTACAATTTTCTTTGTTGTGGACTCCATGCTCTAACTTGTAGCGGTAACTATTAACTTTTAGCTTTTCGTCACGGCAGGAGGTTGACAGTGGATCAACGACGAGTTAATTGAAGATGGGGAAAATGGGGGGGAGCTGCGTCTGATGACGGAGCTGGCCGCGACATACATACATACACACATATACACATACACACAAGCACACGCACATGCACACGCACACGCACGCACACACACGCACGCACGCACACACACACACACACACACACACACACACACACACACACACACACACACACACACACACACACACACACACACACACATATATATATATATATATATATATATATATATATATATATATATATATATATATATATATATATATATATATATATATATAAGCGCGTGTGTGACTGTATATGTATGTATATGTATATGCATAAGTGTGTGTGTGTGTGTGTGTGTGCGTGTGTGTGTGTGTGTGTGTGCGTGTGTGCGTGCGTGTGTGTGTGTATGTGTGTGCGTTTGCGTCTGCGTGAGCGTGTGTGTGTGTGTGTGTGTGTGTATTTCCTCTTGTTCAAAAGGATAATTTCTCTTTCCCCTCTCTCTCCTTTCAAACATCGCCCTCTTCCTCTGTTCTCTCTAAGTATTTCTTTCCTGCCCACCTTCCTCCCCTCCCCCAACCGCTCTCCCCTCCCCCAACCACTCTCCCACCCCCCCAACCGCTCTCCTTCCTACCCCCCCCCCCGTATCCAGTGGCTTAGGAATGTTAGCGAAACGTTTTGCACAAGGAGTGTGCAGTTGCCGTGAACCGCCAGCCGCGTGTCTGTTCATCTCCCTCCCCCCCCGCACTCTCTGTCTGTCTGTTTCTGTCTCTGTCTCTCTCTCTGTCTGTCTGTCTGTCTGTCTGTCTGTCTCTGTCTGTCTCTTTCTCTCTCTGCCTGTCTCTGTCTGTTTCTGTCTGTCTCTCCCTCTCCGTCGCTGTCTGTCTGTCTGTTTGTTTGTCTCTTTCTCTGGCTCCCTTCCCCCGTCTCTCTTCTCTCTCTCTCTCTCTCTCTCTCTCTCTCTCTCTCTCTCTCTCTCTCTCTCTCTCTCTCTCTCTCTCTCTCTCTCTCTCTCTCTCTCTCTCTCTCTCTCTCTCTCTCTCTCTCTCACTCTCTCTCTCTCTCTCTCTCTCTCTCTCTGTCTCTCTCTCTCTTTCTCCCTCTATGTATCTCTTTCTCTCTGGCTGTCTGTCTCTCTCTGTCTCTCTCTCTGTCTCCCCCTCTCCGTCGCTGTCTGTCAATCTGTCTGTCTCTGTCTCTCCCTTTCCGAGAGAGATAGATAGATAGGTAAATAAATAGAGAGAGAGAGAGAGAGAGAGAGAGAGAGAAAGATGAACAGACACGTGGCTGGCGGTTCACGGCAACTGCACACTCCGCTTGCAAAACGTTTCGCTAACATTCCTAAGGCACTAGAGACGGGGGGGAGGGGGGGGGGGCGGAGACGGGGGGGGGGATAGAGAGAGAGAGAGAGAAAGATGAACAGACACGTGGCTGGCGGTTCACGGCAACTGCACACTCCGCTTGCAAAACGTTTCGCTAACATTCCTAAGGCACTGGAGACGGGGGGGAGGGGGGGGGCGGAGACGGGGGGGGGGGGAGAGAGAGAGAGAGAGAGAGAGGGGAAAGAAAAATTATCATTTTGAACAAGAGGAAAGACATTTCAGTTTTTTGGATGGCTAGGTGAAGATTATGATTATGTTTGTGATGAAAATGCAGGCCGTATGTTTTTGTTTTTGTTTTTTGCAACTGAGATGATAAAGATGATGATGGTGATGATAATATCAGAAAGAACAATAATATGAGAATAATGATAGTAATGAGAATTATAATAATACTCATAATCATGATAATGATGATGGTGATGATGATGATGATGGTGGTAATGATGTTGGTAGTGATGGTGATGATGGTGATGAGGATGATGATGGTAATGATTTTAACAATCACAATAACAGTATTAAAAATAATGATCATAACAGTAACAATAATAACACAAATAATAGTAAAAACAATGATAATCATAACCAACAATAATAACGATAATAATAATAATAATAATCAAAAGAACAATGCATTCACAGATAAGAGAAAGAAAAAGATAACATGAAGGAAAAGATAATGAAAAAAACGAATTCGTAGAAAAGAAAGATTGTTCACATACGTAACTATATGTCAAGTGGTATATGAGGAGGTATGATAAGCGAGAGAAAAACGTCTGTCTGTGAAAATAATGGTTTGTAATGATGATGGTGATGAGGATGAGGATGGTGGTGGTGGTGATGAAGATGATGGTGATGATGATGATGATGGTGGTGGTGATGATGATGGTGGTGGTGATGATGATGGTGGTGGTGATGATGATGGTGGTGGTGGTGATGATGATGATGGTGATGAGGATGAGGATGGTGGTGGTGGTGATGAAGATGATGGTGATGATGATGATGATGGTGGTGGTGATGATGATGATGGTGGTGGTGATGATGATGGTGGTGGTGATGATGATGATGATGACGATGTTGATGGTGATAGTAATAATAACAATAATAAAGATAAAGATGGTGATAATCATGGCGATAACAACAATGATGACGATGAAGATGATGATAACGTAAGAGTAAAACCATAAATTAAGAATTTGATCAGCGGAAGTGGGGAAAAAATAATGAAAATAAAAAGTATATACTATCATTAGTTACAATCCCATAGTTCCTATTTCAAATGGATAGCAATAACAGAATAAAAAAAATAAAAAAGCTTACCTCTATTCCACAATATCCACCAGCGAAGAATTCTCAAGTTATTTGACGGTTTCTATAATACTAGCAAATTCCTTCCTTGCACTCTATATAGCATTTGTGCCGCGCTGCCTTGGCCACGAACGTCTGTACGAGTGCTGTCGCCATTCTCGTACCATTACTTCGGGTTTTGTTGTGGACATATTTATCTAGGAATTAATATCCAAGGATGTATACATGCGCTCCATTGACTA